CTGGTGGATGAGCCCAGAGTAGCAGCCGCCCCACAGAAAAGGAGTGCAAAGAGCCCCACCCCAGGTCCACTGAGTAGGTCAGCTGAGGAGGAACTGGGAGTGGGAATCCTAAGTCAGTGGGTCTTGTGGGGCCATGGCTGTACTTGGTATCCCCAAAGAGTCCACATGTACCCCCTTTACCTCCTTGGAGTCAAGGTTCCCATGTTGGGTGTCCCCAGCCTCACAAAGTGTGTGGTCCTTGTGTCCCCAAATCCTCCACACAAAATATACTCACAGGAGGGAAAACACCACACAGCCCACAGTGCTCCACTGTGAGCTGGAGTTATGAGTTCGTTCAAATGTTTTTTTTTAATGTGTGAGATTTGGAAAATGGCTGTTTACTGATTAAATAACAATCTTATGATCTTATCAACAAAAGCCCTAAATTACTTAATAAGACAGCATTATATTTATATAAAAACTTTAAAGAACAGGAATGAAGGAAGGAAGTTTTCTGAGGCTTCTATAGAGTCTCTACTTCCAACCCCGAGCCCACAATGCAATGGAGGGACATCCTTTCACTTCTGTCTTCACACACCTCCTTGTAGCATTTCTGGAGCACATATGCCAACCACTCAAGTACCTTATCAAGCACCTGGGTCATAAAGACAAGAAGTCACAGCCCTGACGGACCTCGGCAGATCTGCACAGTTCCTGGCACATGGCAGGCTGGATGAAGAAATGAGGCTCAGAATGCTGAGTTGCAGGTGATGGTGACCATGGGCACGGGCTGAGTCTCTCTCTGCTGAGGAGTCTGGGATGAGGTGTGGCAAGTGTGCACATTCTTACCCCAGAGCCTGGTGGCCCTGGCCTCTGTGAACTAAAATCCCCTGGTGGGGGGCATGTTTCAGGTGGGTGGTGTTTTTGGATTGCAAAGAGGGAAAAGGTAAGATCTGGGGTCTGACATCTGGGGTTCCAACAGGACATCACCACTAACCAGTGTCTTCCGTTTCTGAGAAAGCTTGCGTTTCTCGGCATTATGGTTTTCTGTTAGTAAGTTCTCATCTACGGTCACTCTTGAAGACTGCAGGTGTATTCTGCACAGAAAAGGGGAAGAAAGCTGTTGGTGACAATGCCCTGAAGGGGGAGAGATCTATAAGACATGACCTCCTCCAACCTCAGAGCCAGTCTCTGGGTCTTCCCAGTGCTGCCTCCAGATTCTCAGAGATGCTGCCAACAAGCTCCTGGTCCTGAGCCCAAACCATTTTCCTACATTGCCAGAAACCTCATCATCAGAGTCTCACCAACTCCTGCAGTGGTAGGATACCTCACCTTGAACCCATGGAACCCTGTGGGCCTATAGTTCCACTCTGTTCAGCTGTGGCTGAGATGACAGTTTAATGTATGTGACTGGCACACTCTGGGGGTGTGATACCAAAGGCAGGTGCTATAGGGCAAGAAGCACAGGGTCTGGAGTCTGAAAGCCAGGGTTGGAGTCTCAATTCTCCACTTATTGGCTGATAGGACCTGCGGGCTGACCTCTGTGGTTCCAACACAACCTCCCTTGGGCAAGTCATTTAACCTCTCTAAGCCTAGTTTCCTCAAAAGGAAATGGAGATAATTCTTGCTTTTCCTATCTCATAAAATTGCTGCGAAGTTTAAATAAGAGCAAAAGAGATAAGTAAAAATAGCATGTAAACTGCAAGGAGCTGTACAGATGTTATTTTTGACAGCAGGATGGGAGAAAAGTAGATCCAAGTAGGTTTTTAACTCCTAGGCCTCTTAGGAGAGCCATCCTTGTTCAAGCGAGGCAGGCACTTAGGTGTCAACAGGGAGGGCTGCATGTGAGCAGCCGATCTAGGTGAAACTAAAGAAAGAAGTAATCCCCGCAGTCCATGGTGGGGGTGATTTATGCTGCCAGAGAGACTTGTGTCTTCATTTCTCTTGCTAGCTGATGATCTTGGGTGTGTGGTTTAACCTCTGAAACTCAGTGTCTTTGTCCATAAAAGTGAGACTAGGACTAGTCAAACTCCAGAGAAGCTGAAAGCAGTAACATGAACCCACTTGGGAAACCCTGCCCTACATGGAGCAGTGACACCCTAAACTTCAGTCCTCTGTTGTCTCTAAACCAAACAAGTGTGAGGAAACCATGTTGTGTAAGCAGCTGGTGTGGAAAAGGAAGATGTTCATGGGTTTGAGACAGGATACAGCAGATCAACCCCTCTGCTCACTAGGTTAAATCAATACCTTTCTGTCAAGACTAATCACTTTTTCCAGACTCTGTTCTTGTTCCTGTTGGAGTTCCTACATAAAGCAAGGTAAGCAAGAAAATTATGAGGAACTCTCCAAATCCTGAGAGGTTGCCAAGTGGAAAAGCTCAGTATGTAGCAGATATTAGTTTTGAATGTCAAAGGAGACAACAGTCCAAAAATGACTTGCAAATAATAATAACTTTAAAAATACCTGGTAGAGACAATATACTTATCCAAAAAGCTTAGGATGCTCTTTTTTAAAAATATATTTTATTGATTTTTTACAGAGAGGAAGGGAGAGAGATAGAGAGTTAGAAACATCGATGAGAGAGAGACATCGATTAGCTGCCTCCTGCACATCTCCTACTGGGGATGTGCCCGCAACCCAGGTACATGCCCTTGACTGGAATCGAACCTGGGACCTTTCCGTCCGCAGGCCGATGCTCTATCCACTGAGCCAAACTGGTTTCGGCAGGATGCTCTTTAATATTTTATTTTTATTGGATTTATTGGGATGACATTGGTTAATAAAATTATATAGGTTTCAGGGGTACAATTCTATAATACACCATCTGTATATTGTATGTTCACCACCCCAAGCTCCTTTAGTATTATATTAAATATTTCACACCACTTCTCAGGCAAAACAGGAAACAGACATCTATATTTCTACTTTAAAGTAGATAAAACAGAGTTACTTAACTAATGGTAGGCAGTGGGTTTGTCAGGGGGTAATTATGTCCTGGTATTGAGTGAACTCAAGCACTGAGTTCCATCCACCAAGCCACTGTGCCCAGGATGTGAGGATGAAAGGGGAAAGCCAATGTGGATGAGAAACCAGCCCCAGGGAAGTGCACAATTCAGAGGTCCCTTTTAAAGCAGCGGTCGCCAACCTTTCAGACCTCACGAACCACCAGTGGTTTTAGAGGGTCCTCCTGACGTGTCCACAGTACGAAGGCCTGGCCTATCCCTTATCACCCTGACTCTGCTCCAAGAGGAGCTGGAGGAGGGCACCCTACACTGTGCCTCTAAGGCAAACAGTGAACCTGGCTGAATGCACATCATTAAATATTGGTGAACGAAGAACCAGGACAAGAAGGAATGATGTTTTGTACTGCCACCAAATTCAGCCCCCCAATTAATTACATTATGCTTCCTTAAAAGGAACCAAGGCACTCTTTCTGAGTCTATTTCATGTCCTTTCCAAATGTGGCTGCAGTTTTCTAAATCATTCCTGGCTGGGTAACAACACTGAAGCCTACTGTCTGGTTCTTGTGGACTCATTTTTAGCTCTGGAACAAATAATCACACTGGCACTTACTTTCCCGACTTTTGTAGGCTTTCTCTGTCAAGGAAGCCAGGCCTTGAAGGATTAGAGTTTAGGTGAGATCAGGTGTTTTGCTTTTGTAATGAACAGAAGGGAGAAACTACATTCATTCAACACTTACTAAACGCCTATTATATGCAAAAGCTATGATGAGAGCATCACCTATTCTGCATATGTGTCCCCAGTGATGTGTTTGATGTGGGCTGCATCATCCCCATGTTTGAAATATAGAAGCAGAGGTCTGGAACTTTAAGGACCTTCTCTGAGGTCCCAAATCTAAAAAAAACTAGCCAAAGTTTTTGCTTTAATCCTTATACTTTGCGTCCTTCCTGGCTAACAGCTTGTTTTTTTTTGTTTTCAATGCTTAGAGGCTACACCTATGAATACAGACAGTAGCTACCCTGAAGTTGTGGAATGCACCTGATCAGATTAGAGTCAGCCAGCAATTTGACAAGCATTTTCGTCATAAGCCTGTGGATGAAGAGGCAGTTTATCCAACAACTTGGGTTCAGTCCAACATGGCTGGATTCAAATCCTAGTTCCACCACTTATAAATATGTGTAAAACACATGATCTCTCCAGGCTTCTATTTCTTCATTTATAAAATGGTTATATTACTACCTCATAGAGTTGTGAAGGTTAAGTGTAGTATATAACTCACTTGTCATATAATATACACTCAGTATAAACAAGCTGGCTGTTACTAATGATGAAGTGTGTCTGTCCTTTTGCTAGCAAGTAATGTCGTCACTGGGCTGACAAGTCATTGGGATTCTGTTTCGGCACCACTGATCCTGTGGGGCTGGAGCCCTACAGTCAATGGACAGAGGCGGAAAGTTCCGAGGTCCGGGTCAGGTACCATTTCCTTTTTCTGTACTCAAGCCCTCATCTCTGCCCTCAGCCGGGCCAGCGCCTACCTCGACGAGGTCGCCAAGCTGGATCTCTGTGGCGCAGAGGAGGCCATCACCCTCCAATAACCCGGCAGCTAGCATCCGCGGCCTGGGAAGCTATGGAAGTGTACAACCCGTCGCCATGGCGACCAGGCCCCAGCAGCAGAGCGGCGCGAGCGGGGTCAGTGCTGTGCCATGCCCTCGCGCCTCGTGCCTGCGGTTGGGAGGCCAACTAGCAAAAGTGGTCTCGGAGCCGGGAGTGGGACCCCCTCAGAATTAATTAATCACTACAGCATACTTGACTCTAGCTACCAGACCCGAGAATCGGGGATAAACATTAGACCCTGGAGGAGGGAGCTGAACTGGGAGGCCCGAGCCGGGTTGCAAGCGGGAATTGTAGTTTTCAGTGTCCCGAAGTTTCGGCCGAACAGGCCTATGGCTGAACAAATCTGAACTACATTTCCCAAAGTTCCTTGCCAGCCCGCGTTGGTCTGCCTCTGTAGAGCTATGCATTGTGGGATATAGAGTTCGAAATGTGGCGAGGCGTGGCCGTGTTGAAAGAGAAGTGCCGGACTCGGACTCGGTTTCCCTGCGGCTCCGGTAGACTTTCGGGTCATTGGCTGAGCGGTGCGGATCTGGTCCCGCTCCTCCCCGCCTCCAGTGACACAATAGCAGCTCCCTCCAAGATGGCGGCGGCGACGGCGGACCGGGGAGCTGGGAGCCCGCAGGCTGGAGACTCCTCCGGCGGGGGCGCTGGGGGCGGGCTGCCGTCCCCAGGGGAGCAGGAGCTGAGCCGGCGCCTGCAGCGCCTGTACCCCGCGGTCAACCAGCACGAGACGCCGCTGCCGCGCTCCTGGAGCCCCAAGGACAAGTACAACTACATCGGCCTCTCCCAGGGTAACCTCCGCGTCCACTACAAAGGTATTAGCCTGTTTGGAGGAGGGAGGAAAAGGCCAGAGCGTCTGCCCGGTGGCTGTGCTGCCCAGCCCTTACCCCATCACGTCCCTTCCCCGGCCCTGTGCTCCGAGTTAGGCCCTAGTCCCTGCGGGTGTCCAGCGTGGTGGGGCTGACCAGGCCGAGGCTGAAGTGCCTAGTCTGCTCTGCCCTGAAACACCCGATGTCAAGAGAACTGCAACAGGTGTGACCAGACCAGTGCTCGGTTGGACCTTCCACCCGAGGGCCTTCCTGCGTGTCCTGGGATAGCTCCAGCTCCAGCTGGGCCCTTCTTACCACTGCTTAGTTTCAGCAGTGTCTGAAGAAAGGGGTAAAGGGATAGTCACATCTTCTCCCCGAGCCAGAGGCCCATGGGCTTGCTGATCTGCCAGACTCCCAGACTGGTCCTGGGGTTCTGTGCTAAAGTTGGCGGGGGCGGGACGTGCCTTCTCCTCTGCTCTCCCAGGTGGGCTGCCTGTATTCTGGAGAGTCTAGATTGCAGGCAGTTTTGGGAAATATCTCTCATGTATCCACATTGCCTGTACCCTCCTTTGGTTTGTGTGGGAGGGTTGCTATTCTCAGGAGGAGGTGAGCCAAAGGTGGGAGGTTTATGTGTTTGTTCAGTTGTCTAATTATTCCTTAGACTGTGTCAGAGCCTCCTCTGGCCATGGAGTGGTGAAGTTGTCATGATCAGAGAAGAATGAGGTGTCTGCCCATTTGCATTTCCTTGTGCTGAAATTTATCCCTTGCCCTCTCTAATTAGGTCATGGCAAAAATCACAAAGATGCAGCCTCAGTGCGTGCCACCCATCCCATACCTGCTGCCTGTGGCATTTATTACTTTGAGGTGAAGATTGTCAGCAAAGGAAGAGATGGGTAAGCCCCTCCTTACCATCACCTTTCCCCCAACACCAAGCTGTTCCCTGTGGTCAGAGTTCGAAGTCTCCTGGCAGACACTTGTGAATGTTGTGAACCTCCGAGCCACATGGGTCTGGGCTGCCTCTGTTACCTGACGAGGCATCGCCTGGTTTAAGCATCAGCCTTTGATGACAACTAGATCCATCCGGGGCAGAGGAGGGGACTTCTCTTTAGTAATGAGCTATCTCATAGGTCAGAGAAACAAGCAACAGGTTTGCATTAACCATTCAGCGCTTGAAATGGGGTTCCCCCCACTGAAGTGTGGTGTTTGTGACCTCCCTCCTTCTCATACTCTTACTGCATTCAAGGTTCATTTTATGGCATTTAGTCATGTAGAGGCCCCAGTAGCCTTCAAAGGGGTAATAGAGTCTCTACAGCATTCATCAAAACTGTGGCAGCGACTGGCCTGTCATCTCAGGGTAAACAGCATGCACATGGTCAGAATCAGCTGACTTTATGCTGCTCATAAACTTGTTTTTCTGTCCAGGGACTTGAACACCAGTTGAACCAGCTTTAGGAAGGCCCTCATTAAAGTCAGCATTAGGGAGGTTCCCTATTTTATGGTGATCTAAGCAGACAGACACAAGGCATCAGAAGGAAGAGTTTTCATTTTTCTTCTTCCTTTTTCTTCTCCCAGTCTCCCTTTTTTCCAGTGATTGTGACAAAGCAGGTGTCTAAGTTATGAAATAACATGATTGCAACTGTCTTGGAAAGGCTTTCCTCATCAGACCTGAAGTCTGGTGTGGGAAGTTTGCCAACCCCCTCAGTGACCTTTGTACTAACCCTGAATATGTGTTTTTGAATATTCAGAATACTTTCTCTCTCCTAGGACTGTCCCCTTGTGGTGCCGAAGGGCTATACTGGGGACAGGATGGCCGGAGTCAGAGCTTTGCCTGCTTCCTCGGTGACGTCGTAACATCCCTGCCTGAGAGGGTTGTGTGATTGTGGGTGGAATGTGGGGCTTTCCTCATCTGCACTGTGGGGAGGTAGGCCAGCAGCTTAGATGCTTCTAACTCCATAGTTCTGTGATTCTGAATTCTGATCATGGGAAGCTATTGTATTTTTTACTTTTATTCCCACCTAGTGCTCTTACAGATATGAAACATACTATTGGAGGGCTTTAAAGCTTCTATTTTCCCTTCCCACTCTGATAAAAGCACATATATTTTATGTGCTTGAACTAGTGTGAATGAGAGTGGTGTCTTAAAACAAACTTGTGAGCTTTAGCTGGTTTGGCTCAGTGGATAGAGCGTCGGCCGTGCATTGAAGAGTCCCAGGTTCAAAACTGGTCAAGGGCACGTATCTCAGTTGCAGGCTTGGCGGGGCGAGTTTGAGAGGCAACCATTTCATTTGTCTCTCACATCTATGTTTCTGTCTCCCCCCCCTCCCTTCTACCCTCTAAAAATCAATGGGGAAAATTTCTCCAGGTGAGGATTAACAACGAGAGAGAGAGAGAGAGAGAGAGAGAGAGCGAGAGAGAAAAGAAGAAAAGGAGGAAGAGAAGAAGAAGAAGAGGAGGAGGAGGAAGAGGAGGAGGAGGAGGGGAGGGGAAGGGAGAGAGGAGAGGAGAGGAGAGGAAGAGAGAGAGAGAAAAATCCTCAGGTGAGGATTTAAAAAAACACAAAACACTGCGAAAACAGTTACAGTATAGACTGAAATGTTGGTGCTGGAGTCTCATATTGCCAAGGGGACTGAGGAGCATTTTTTAAACTTGTAGGGAGGAAAATGGATTGTTTTCTCTGTAACTGAGTGAGAGAGAGAGAAAAGAAAAATTTTTCAGAAGGGGAATGTTGAAACGTAGACACCTAGAGTTCTTCATCTAACTTTAACATTTCAGTTGTAAGTAGATCTTGCTGGAAAGGCCCTGTGTCTTGTTAGATTGCCTTACTTAGGTGTTGCCACAAAACTAAAGAGAGTTGGGCATCTTTTCTCAGCTTTTGTTTTCAGCATTTTTACATACGGTAACTGTAGCCAGTGAGCTAACCTGGAACCTTCAGTTTGTTGTTGTTAATCCTCACCTGAGGATATTTTTTCCCCATTGATTTTTAGAGGGGAAGGGAGGGGGTTGGGAGGGAGGAAGGGGGAGAGAGAGAAACATTGGTCTGAGAGACACATTGATTGGTTGGCTCCTGAACTCACCCTGACCCCTACCAGGCTGGGGATCAAACCTGCTACCCAAGTATATGCCCTTGACCAGAATTAAACCCTTGATCCTCCTGTGCAAGGGCTGGTGCTCTAACCATTTAGGACACTGGCCCGGGCAGGAAACCTCAGTTTTAAAAAGGTGCAGTGGGCATGTATGCCTTGGTAGCCTGCTTCAGTTGACTACTGTCAAATGGCAAATATGTGCACATCCCATCATGGTCTCTTTGTAGAAGTCCTGAAAGCCTTGTGGCTAGGGTGTAGCCAGTCGTTGGTATGGGCTAGGTGTGGTTTCGAGGAGACCTAGTGCAGTTACGGAACAATTATCAGCTTGCTTCCTGTTTCCTGTCAATGTTGGAGGTGTGTTTCTGACCTGGGTTTGGTCCATGACCCAGGTGTTGGCTGGTGGTGTAGCTTTTTTGTATTATCTAGTTGATCCTCACAGTGTCCTGGAAAGTGTGTGGAGCCGATGATGATGTACCTATTTTGTGGATGAGCCCTGAGCCCCTGGGATGTTTGGTGATCTTTCCTGGCCTCAGGGCTTAGGGTGTGCAATAGAGTAGCTTAACTTGTCAGATGTCCTTGCCTGCTCCCCGACATGTGTCTCCATGTTGCTGCTGCCTTTCCTCATTGCATTCCTTCCCTGAGGAGAGTGATGGAATGTCCATTTAGATTCTTAGGGGATCACAGTGTTCTTAGGGGACAGAACTAAAAGGTGCCAGACAAGTGTGGCATGGCCTGGCTGGGCTTGGTTGACTTACACCTCATTGAATCTGTAAACTTGTTTTTCTGTTGATTTGAGTATGGGCTTCTTCTGTAAAAGGTATTTATGAACCCAATTGTCAGTGTCAGTATTTTCCAGAACAGCCTTTGTTCTGCAATATCTTTTGTAGAAAAACATCCTCTGCACACTAAGCTCATCAAATTAGAAAGGTTTCTTTTTAAAGGTTCATAGAAAATTTAATCAGACCTACTGTGTGCCAGGCCCATGCTAGGTGCAGGGAGAACAAAGGTAAAGCCAGCACAGGCCAGCCTTGTCCTCAGGGAGCCTGTGGCCTACTCAGTAGAGAGTGGACTGAAAGACTCTTATCAGAGGAGGCAGAAACTGGGCATGGTCTTGAGGGACACGTAAGAGTTTCCCAGCAGGTGAGAACGTTTGGACCTAAAATGAGTTAGGTCGGTAACTAGCTTGATGTCAGGTTTCTGGACTTTCTGGGTACTCCCCAAATAGAGAGAGAGTGGAGAAGGAGGGACTGTGTTTGAGCTAAGAGCTTAGCACAGACTGATGGAATTCAGATACTTTTTGCAGAGTCACCAGAGCTGGGAACCCCAGGAGCAGGTCTGGTGGGGTGAGGAGACATCAGAGCCCTGCCAGTGGTGCCAGGAGATAAGGGCATCTGGGTTGATCGTGTTAGGAAGCCAAGGAGGCCCTGAAGCTGAGGGTCCCTTGGGGAAATGACTTGCTCAGTCAGAGTTTGTGGACCTTTGGGTGTCCACAGCAGTTAGTGATGACACATGGAGGGTGTGGCTGACCAGGCTGACAGATGCTCCAGGGTGACCCTCAAAATAGATTGTAACATCACCCCGGTGGTGGTGGCCTTCTGACATGTGATGGGTGGCTCTACTCAAGAACAGCAAGCCTGGGCTAGAGCACTGGATAGAGTTGTGGGACTCTCCTCTGTAGCTGGTGCCTAGGCCCCGAGAAGGGCCTCTGGCCACAGCCAGCCTGCCTTTGCTCGCACTTGCAGGGACTTCCTTTGACCAGGCAGCAGTGCATCCACCCATTAATTCTACACATCGCAGTGAGGCACCCATTGTTTTGTTCCAGTCCTCGGCCTGGGCCCCAGGAGCCCAGGCATGAGGTCTGCCTAGAGAGGAGGCAGATGTGCTTGTACACTGGAACTCACAAAGTGGTGTAGAAAAGACCAATCAAGGTATTTTATGCCCAGGGGTGACCCAGAGATTGGACTCCTCTTGTACCTGAGAGTTTGGAGAAAGCTTCATTGAAGAGGTGATGATTCTACATCTGGAAGGAAGAGTTAGAGGGTGCCATGAACAAAGTGAGAAGCAGATATTTCAGGCAGAAAGAAAGTGCATAAAAAAATGTGGAACACAGAACATGAGCAGGCAGGGGCCAGATCAGAAATACCTTCTGGCCCTAACCGGTTTGGCTCAGTGGATAGAGCATCAGCCTGCAGACTCAAGGGTCCCAGGTTCAATTCCCGTCAAGGGCGTGTACCTTGGTTGTGGGCACATCCCCAGTAGGGAGTGTGCAGGAGGCAGCTGATCAATGTTTCTCTCTCATCAATGTTTCTAACTCTCTATCTGTTTCTTTTCCTCTCTGTAAAAAATCAATAAAATATATTAAAAAAAAAAGAGAAAAAAGAAAAGAAATACCTTCTGTGCTGTGGCCAAGCAGCATGGGCTTTATCCTGAGTGCAGTAGCAGGGTATGAGGACTTTGGATCTGTTCACACTTTTGAGAGTGGAATGGGGAGAAGAGACTCTTCTGGTCTGGGTTAGCCAAGCCCCTCTGGCTGAGAGCCCTGGCCAGTGCTGGGCCAGTGGTTTTAGGTTCCTTGACTCCATGCTTGGTTTTCCCACGGCAGATGACTTTTTTCTTTCTTGGCTGGCATTTATTTTGCATGGAGAGTTGCAGAGATGGGATGTTGGAGACTGATAGCTAGAGAGGCTTCTCAGAGGTGAAAGGACTTCCTATAGATCTGTTTCTGGTATTTTGGTTTTACCAAGACAACAATGAAGACAACACTGTCTGTGATTTTCCATGGAGACCCAAAGAACTACTCATTCAATGAG